TAATAAGAAGAAANAATAATTATTAAAAGTAAAAATAAATAATATATATATATATATATATATATATATATATATATATCCCATTATGGTTTATGTTAAAAATGAAAATTAAAAAAAAAAGGAAAACTTTACTTTTTTTCGGTTATTCAAAGTATAAACAACTGAAAACACATCAATTTTAGTTTTTGAATAATAGAAAATTTGAAATTTTGAAAATTTTCGTTCTTCAAGAACCGAATTTTTTTTTGTGGGTTGCGTATCCTCTCTCTACCCATCTCTCTACATTAAATGGGTAAAAATGATTTTTTTTTTAAACTCTATCTCTCCCCTTCACAAACCTTGTGTTCGGTGAGTTCATAAGATTTCTCCTAAATTTAAGGGCTTATCCGATTTCCAAAACTCAAAGAGGTAAAGGGAGAATACACTAGCAGATTGCTCATAATCTTCTAATCTCATAATCCCTAAAATTTCTCCTACATTTAGGGGCTCAAACTAGTTGTTCCCCTTTGATTTTATCGGATAACTATGACTTCAGACACAGAGAAATAGGCCACGTCAAACACATAGAGAAATATGCCACTTCAGACACATAGAGAAATAGGCCACAAGAGAGAGAAAACATTTTTCTGCGTTTCAAAAACCGAAAACATTTTTCTGTTCTTCAAGAACAAAAATTGGTGTATTTATGATTGTTCAACAACAGAAATTACTTTGAATTCTTTGTTCAACAAACGAAAAATGGTAAAGTAGTCTGTTTTTTAAATTTTAGTTTTGATATGAAAAAAACGAAAACGGTGGTAATAACCAAAACTATTATGTACAGCCCTAATAACAGAAATTATAACGGATATGTATGTAATTTTTCTTAAAAAAATTGATTAACTAAAAATAAAAAAATAAAATTCTTTAATAGTAAGAACATATTATAATGACAAACGATTACGTAGGACTTGGAGTTTAATATTTTTATTGATGAGATTAATTTTAATATTATAATTTGATTAGATTTATAAATTTGTGAACTGCTTCCTACTTAGGGTATCATTAGACTTTTTATTACCTTAAAAGTATGAATTTAATGTGTCCCTCCTTTTAAGTAAAATTTTGATTTTAAAAAATACAATAGCAATAATGAACCATTCTAATTTTAACGAGTAAATTTATAGTTTTAATAGGGCTATGACATTTTAATAACTCTATAATGATAAATAAAAATTATTTTAGAATAATAGTTTTGCTAAGAAAAAAGCTAATTGAGAATTTTGTTAAATTCAGGTTATAATTATCATGATATTGCAAATCATAAGCAATCATTAAAATTTAAAAATTATATTGTACAATTGGATTTGTAGGATGATATTATAGCAACAAACAATTATATATCGAATGGTACTTTAATATTTCATTGATACAAGTACTTTTCGCCACTTACTTTTAAGAACATTGGGTTGCGATCCTGACATATCTACTAATTTGAGGACCCAAAGTTTAGGTTTAATGCGAAATGCAGTGACCCTATATACTATTTCTATGTATAAAATTAGTTGTAATTTAAATTTAATTTTCATATTAATTAATGATATCGCAATACTACTTCTATGTATAAAATTAGTTGTAATTTAAATTTAATTTTCATATTAATTAATGATATCGCTCAATGATAAATTTTAATTTAAAATTTACAGATCTATAAATTAAGAATTTAACCTTTTGAAATTATATTCATAAAAATAAATTTATTCTAACAATATTAAAAAAATAATAATAATTATTCTAACTAAGATTAAAATTTTAAAAAATATAGAATTTTATTTGGAGAGAAGCTATAAATAGCGAAGTGGGCTCCATAAAATTTTAAATTTTTTTTTGGAGAAAAGCTAAAAATTGTGAAATGGACTCCATATTGGCAAATAAAAATAGGAAATTAGTAGATCTTCCACCTGTTTCGAAACTCATACATTGTAAATGGATATTTAAAAGAAAACGTAATGCGGAGGATCTATTAACAAATATAAAAAAAGATTAGAAACCAAAGGATTTAAACAAAAAGAAGGCATCGATTATTTTGACATATATGCACATGTAGCAAAAATGCTACTAGTACCATCTATCAACCATCTGATCATACATCAAATGGATGTAAAACCATTTTCTTAAATGGTGACCTAGATGAAAAAATCTATGTGGAACTACCCAAAGAGTTTGCGATGCCAGATCATAAAAACAAAGTTTGCAAACTCTCTATGGACTTACAGAAGCATCTAAACAATGACATAAGAAATTTCACAATATGTTAATGTTAAATGGTTTTGAAGATAAATGAGGCTGATAAATGTGTATATATTAAGAATTAAATTCTCTATGTGTAATAATTTGTCTATTTACAGAAAACATGATGATCTTTGGTTCTAGTCTAAAAAATGTGGAGAAAACCAAAAGATTTATCGCATCTAACTTCCATATGAAGGACTAAGGAGATGCTAATGTCATACTTGGTATTAAAATAATGAAAAAATAAAATAAATTAATCTTAACTCAACCTCACTATATTAAGAAAATGCTCAATAAGTTTGAGCATACTGATAGTAAGCCAGTTTACCCCTATACATCCCCATATTAAGTTAAAAAAAAATGACAAGGGATGTATATCTCAATTAAATATGTTAAGGTAATTGGTATAATGTATGCAATAACCAGCACGATGCCTGACATTGCATATGCGGTGGGCAAACTTAGCAGACATACAAGCTGCCCAAGTAGAGAGTATTTAGATGCTATACCTCGCGTATTAAGATACTTTTAAGGTATTATCACTTATGGCATACACTATGTGGGTTATCCTGGATTGTTGGAGGGATATAGTGATCCTAATTGGAACAAAGAAATCCAAGATTCACTATCAGTATCCGGATGGATTTTTACACTAGCTGGTTGTGCGATATCATGTGATCAAATAAACAAATGTATATTTC